CATGGTTTTTGAACTGTATCTAAGGACAAAGGGAAAATTCTGGAGGGACTAACCTTTTTGATTTTTGTGGTTTGTCCAGAGGTTTTACCAGCCACATGGTCTTAAGTAGATTCTTGAGAGTTAAGATTAAAAAACTAGTATGTGTTATTTAAAACAAAAAAGGATATAGGCCTTTATTATAAAGAGAATATGCTCTTTGGGGGGATTAAAGTAGGGAAAAAATTCAATTAAATTTTTGCAAACCCAGAGGTGGGAAGGTAATTGAATTTTTAAAAAGATCTGTGTCTAAAGTCTCAGTCTCTGGGAAGCAGGTATTCTTAGGAGATCTAAGAGAAACTACAGCAACTTGAAAAAGATGCTTTAGTTTTGCTATTAATATGAGCAGTAGAAGATTGAAAGCAAAATAAAAGACATGCTGATTATGCTGGAGGAAGAGAGAGGTACTCTTAAGAAACAATTTATTTTGTTAGAGGCAAGAAAGGAAAAATGCTATCTTTAAGGAAGGGAAAACAGGTATAAAATGGAGTAACTTCTAAAGGGAATAGAGAAGTAGAATATTCTTTAAAAAGGTAGCAGGGAATGGGGAATGTGTTAGATATTATTAGATAAAAACAATAACTAAGATCCACTGAAATAAAATCTAAGAGGATGGGAAGCAAAGTCTCTAAACAAACTGGAATAACTCATTTATAAGCCCAGGATTCAAATACCATGGAGTTTGCCCTCTTCTACCCACTAAAGGTAGACACTGTCATTCATAGTGCCCATAGGACATTTGCACAGATTTGAAAGAGAAACTAGAAACACTGGTATAAAATACTCAAAGAATTACTGAATGAGTTTCAAGCTGACACAGTTTTTATGCCTGCGTCCTGAGGAAACATCATCTTCTAAATTTGCATCAGCATTGTCTTCTGTGCTATTGTCTAAAGAGATGTATTTTTTATTGCATGAATCTGCATCATGATTGTTATCATTTTCAATTGAATTCACAATTTTAACCATCTTTTTCAGATATAAAACAAATTGTAGTGTTATTTACAAAGAAATCAGAAGGAAAAAAATCACATCAGTAGGGACTATATATCTTATACCTCAAAGGATTTTAGACTCAAACATAATCCAAGATTTATTTGGAAAGGATTATGCCACTCCAAATGTGAGAGGTGGGTAATTTTATCACAATAATGAACACCTTTTAAGTGTAGTGTCCCATTTTCCAAAGTGCAAGATGCAACTAGAGTTCTGCTCAATACTGTTAGAAGTTAAGCACCCGTCCTCCCCTCCTCCCCAAAACACTCCTACAAAAAACCCTCTAGACCCTTCTAAAGCGAAATCGCACCCAAATTTCTTTATAGTAAGTAATTGAAAATACTGCCAAATGAATCACAAACACATTTTGCCTTGGAATATTGCTCATAGCACCTATCATGTTCAGCATCTTCTTATGAAGGTGCCCACAATCCATAAGGAGGAAAGCAGTTGATCCCTGTACAGTGATGGCTATACAATGGGATGAGCCCCTCAGCCATGGCTCATTAAACCAGGAGAGGCACCTAACCTAATCAATCCATAAGTTGGCCTGTGACTTACGATGATGTGGCTTGGTAATTAGACAGCTGCTCTGATTCTCCCTCCTGGGAATTTGAACCAGGATATATAGAGTAAATTGGCCAGCTAGTAATAGGAGAGGGAGCAAGAGACAAAAGTAACTGAATCGTGCTACTATTCAGTGGAGTAGCAGGGTTCAAAGTCACAACTTCCTGTTACTACAGAGGACCTTGAATTCTGATCAACCGTCAAGCTGCAGTCTTTGCAGCCTCCCTTGAAGCCCAACTATTCAGACTTTCCTGCAATCCATGTAGCTTGGCTACACAGATGAGATTCCTGTTCCCCTTTCTACTTCATGTAGTTTTAGAATAAATTCCCTATTTGTCAAATTCACCAAATGAGTTTCTTCCTTGCAACTAAAGAGCACCCTTCCCCATTTTCCAGTAATCAGGTTCACATTCACCTGGCTAGTTCCAGCTGAGTGTTTCTCTAAAAGATGCACTAACAACAAAGCAGAACTTTCCACACATATCTTCAATTGTTAATAGCCTTTCTACTTCCTTTTTTCTAATGTTCTTACATGAGTGAATAAAAGATTATTATAGATAATCTTGAATCTTCTCTAATTATATTTCTTTAAAGTTGATTATGTGCAATCTTCTATTATTTGTAACATTATTTGTAGCATAGTTCAGTTCACAAATAACTTTGATCCACCTCTCAAGGAAGAGCTAGCTATTGAGAACCACTGTCCTAAAATATATCTAGGGTAGTGGGTATAAATTATTATAACACTAGATGCCAATCAAAAGTTTGTTGTTGATAAATACACAAAAATTGGTTAATAGCGCCTTGTGCTCTGGGTCTGAGCTGTTGGAGGCTCTCATTATCTGCTTAGTCCTAAATGTGCATATGATGAAAGAACCCCTTCCTAACACCAGAGGGCACTGTGCCACTGAGATACCTGCCTGAGTTTCCCACACCAGCAACGGATTTTTTTTTACAGCTTCATTTTTGCATCACATTCGACCTTTCAGAAAAGCCTTCTGGTTTTCCTTTTGCTCTTCTTAGGCCAGGGCTGGTTCCTCGGCTGAATGAGAACAAGAGGTTAAGAGAAGCTGCTAGAGACCAAGTTGTACAGCAGTAAGAACAATCTGTAATTAGCCTGTACTGTTCAGCAAATTCAGTAATCTTAATCTTTCCGGTCTTCATTATCCTCATTTAAAACTAAGGTACAATTCAGGCAAACATGTCTAACGAGCATAATTAAATTGTTTTCTATTAGAAGGTAAGATTAGATCCTGTTGATTGTCATTCTAATTAAATATGGGTGGTCAGAACTGTCAATTTAAGTCTACTAAAATTGTACATAATTCCTAGGACTTTTTAAGAACACCCACCGAATGCTACCAATAATCTACTCTTACCATACACCTTCTTCTAGATATAATTAGTACTGGGGTTTTCGCTTCTTTTTCACAGTACAAATAAAGAGGTAGTTTTTCTTTTTTAACATTTTTAAATTGAATTTTTTGAGGTGACATTTCTAATAAAATTATATAGGTTTCAGGTGTACGATTCTATAATATATCACCTGTATATTGTACTGTGTGTNGTTAATAAAATTATATAGGTTTCAGGTGTATGATTCTATAATATATCACCTGTATATTGTACTGTGTGTTCACCACCCCAAGTCAAGTCTCCTTCCATCTCCATTTATCCCCCTTTTGCCCTCTTCAATCTCTCCCACCCCCCTTTCCCTCTGGTCATCATTCTGTGTCTGATTTTTTTTTGCTTTTTTGCTTAATGACTTCACCTTTTTCACCCAGCCCTGCAACGCCCTCCCCTCTGACAGCTGTCAGTCTGTTCTCTGTATCTATGAGTCTGTTTCTATATTGTTAGTGTATTTTTGTTCATTAGATTCCACATATAGGTAAAATGATACGGTACTTTCTCTGACTGGCTTATGTCACCTAGCATAATACGCTCCAGGTCCATCCATGCCTTTGCAAAAGGTGATTTCCTCCTTTTTGAATTTTTTTTTTTTAATCACCGAGTAGTATTCCATGAAGAGGTCATTTTTCAAGCAAGGTGAGTCTCAATACTTGTTAATTTCCTTAACATTTATTGATCAACTGTATGCCAGGCTTACAGTTGCTAGATGCTGGCAAAAATACACAAATTGTGCTTTCGTGAAATTTTCAATCTAAGAGACAGTAATTTTTTAAATTGTAAAATTGAACGCATAGGTGCTTCTAAGAGAATTACATGAAGCTACCAGCAGGTACAACAGAGAGACTTGCTCCATCCAGTAAGGAAGGTCAAGAAATGGTTCTCCAAAGAAAACTACTCTTGAGATCTGACAGGTAAGTAGGTGCCAAACAGACAACAGGTGTGTGGAGGCAGACACAGAGATGGGGTTGGAGAGGACAATCTCAGCGGCACCCAAAATTTAGTGGGGGAAGACCTGAGTTAAAATAAGGACACTATTTTTTAACTCAGGTCAGCGAGGAAGTGGGGCAGCGAGGGGCCTTCAAAACAATGGCTGTTTTTATTCTAAGAGCCACGGAAAGGCTCGGAAGAGTTTTAAGCGGTAGGTTCCGTGATTACATTCGTATTTGACAACACTATCCTAAGTGCCGGGTGAAGAATGAATGTATAAAGCCGGGTAGGCGGCTACTAGTCTCCGTGGAAGGATGACCCGGAAGGTGGACAGCTGTTGCGGAGGCTGATGTTTAGACAGTAAAATCCATAAAACTGGGTGTCAGAGTGCAGAAACTGTATACGAGCTCACTGCGCTTAATTTCAAATTAGAAACTCTTTTAAAAGGTGAGACGTATGCCTGAGAATCCGTGGAGTCGCCGCGGTCCTTTCCGTCAGCGAAAGTTCCACTGCATTTCCACGGGCCCTGTGGAAATGCTCCCTGATGCAGGACGGATGGGCGGTGGCACGGATTAAGCAATGTCCGAGGAAAGGTGCTCGTCCCTGGGTCACCGAGGCTTGGGTGCTGGGGAGCTGGACGGCCGAGAGGAGGGCGCGAGCCGCAGCGCCCCAGTCCGGACGCGGTATTCAAACTTTGGGCACTTCCGGGAAGCTCAGGCCAAGCCCCGCTCATCCGCTACGGTGGCCGGAAAGGCCCTGGACTAAGAGGCCGCAAGCGGGACTGGAAGACGCGCACGCGTATTGCGGACTTCTCGGCTCTGGAAAGGGTCGGGTCGCTGGCTGGCCGGGAGTGCCGACCCTTACGGTTTCCTCCCCCCTGCACTCGGATTTCCTAGACCGGCTGTCACCCAACACGCTTTGCCATTGGTTTAGAGAAGGTAGAGCCCGCCTTTCCCCGTTGCCGATTGGCTGCCCGCAGGTTAGAAGGCGGGGTTTGGGCCGAGGTGGATTGCATCAGCTGGGCCTTTCCGGGCCACGTGGCTCGAGCGCCGCGTTCCCGGGCGCGCCTGCCCAGCTTTGACCCGCCTCCAGCCTCCTCTCCCCCAGGCCGTCACTTTTGCGTTCTGTCTGCTCTTCTTGGTTCGCCGATGTCCCAGGAGAAGGCCAGCAGCCCTTCTGGGAAGATGGGGGGCGAGGGGAAGCCGGTGAGTGGGGACCGGAGGGCGGGCTGGGGCCCTTGTTGGTGCCCAGCGGCCCTACCGGGCGGGGGCCGTGTGGGGCGGAGGAACCCGAGGGGGACGGTGGGGCTCCGGGCCGAGTCGGCGTCCCCTTTGGGGAGGAACCGGCCATTCATAAGGCAGGGCGGGGCCTCGCTGGTCCTCTCCGGCTCCATTCTCTTTTCTCAGGTGAGGAACTGAGACCTTGAGTGAGTGGCACAGAACGACACATCTAATTAGAAATAGAGACCATTACGAGGCTCCCAGACTAGCGTTTTTACCTCACCTTAGGCGAGAAGAACATTGCAGAGCCTCATTTAATCCTAAAACCCTGTTAAGGGTAAAAGACTCAAGTTTAAAGAAGAGAAAACCGAGTTCCCGAGAGCTGACCCAACTTGCCCAAGTTCGGGTGGTTTATAATAAACGGTGGACGCCAGGTGACCTGACAGACTCGAGGCAGGTGTCACTCTTCCCCTGCCTGGGGCTGGAGGCCTGCTTTATCTTGCTTCACACCTGCTAATCATTTCACCTTTGAACTTTACCTTTTGTGTCATTCATTGCTTAGGAATATCTCCTGGGTCACTTGTGACTTTTTGTTAATGATTAACAACTAAACGTCAAGTATTCATCCCGAGTGCTGGGCCACACACCTAGGAAGGTGAATGGGACCCAGCCTGGCCTTGAGGGCCTCACCGCCTGGTGTGTGAAGGGCAGATGAACAGTCATTTTGCTGTGGGGTTACAGAAGCGGGGTGCCTAATTCCGCCTTCAAGGGCTCTCTCGAATTGAGTTTGGAAGAATGAGTGTTCGTTGCCCAGGTAAGCCAGACAGGGCAGGGCTTCCCAGGTAATGGTGGGGAAGGCCGTGAAAAGGCAACTGAATGAATGAATGAATGAATGAATGAGTGGTCTGTGGAGTTGCTTGCAAGAGATTTGCTTCAAGGGAGAACCATATAAATCAAAGGATTTTAGGCAACCAAGAATTGTTGGAATTGTGTTTTACAAGTGGAAGTTTTTAAGCAGGGAAGTGACAGATGTGAATTGTAGTTTCAAAGATCATGCTGGCATTGGGGTGGAAGGTGCATTGGAAAGAGGTGAACACAAGCAGGAGGCTGCTGTAATAGTCCAAGTGAGAGGTGAGGTATTAAGCTAAAGGAGACTCAGCCCAGCTCTCTGATTGGACAGGTCACTTAAAAGCCACAATTTTCTCATCAGTAAAATGAGTACGACCTCAAACTCAGGGATCGAGTGGGGAAAATGCATGTGTGCACATTCTAAACTATATAAATTAAATTTAGAGTGGTAAATGGTGCCTGTTCATAGTCTTTTTCCCTTCCATATTTTTTTCACTTAAAAATGGTATCTTGCCCGGCTGGGCGTGGCTTAGCGGTTGAGCGTCGACCTAGAATCCAGGCGATCGGGGTTCAATTCCCGGTCAGGGCACATGCCCGGGTTGCGGGCTCGATCAGTGACTTTCTCATCATTGATGTTTCTATCTCTCTCTCTCCTTTTCCTTTCCTCTCTCTGAAATCAATAAAGATATATATATATTTTTTTAAATGGTATCTTTACTGTTTTGTAACTTATTTACTGTTTTTGCTTAATAGTCTATAGTCAACCTTTCATGTCCATAAATACTCTGCTATGCCATTCTTAATTGGAGGTGATTCATGGCTAATAAATTTATGATTTCTCCCTTCTATAATAATAATTGCACAATACCTAATTATTGAGTGCTAACTGTGGGGTCTGGCACTGTATTATATTACATGTGTTAACTCATGCAGTCCTCAAAATAACTATGAACAGGGTTTTGTTATTATCCCCATTATACAGATGAGGAAACAGGCATAGGAACAGTAAGTAACTTGCTCAGACCCAATATTCTGTAGCCAATACTCATAACCCCAGTGCTGCCTTGCCTCCTTCATCTGCCTGGAAACAAGTCAAGGACAGACAGTCCATCAAACTATTGGACTCCCAAGAAATACCTATCCCAGCTGTCAGTCTCTGGGTTTGGATTTACTTAAAGTACATTCAGATAGTTTTTTTCAACTCCTAAATATTTCCGAGCAATGTAATTCCGTAGCTTCCCTTCACAATCCAGTTCTGTGTCCCCACTTTTGGGTTGAAATTTTAGATTGCTTTTACATAAATATGTAATACATAAAGTCACATATTTGTTTTCTGTTTTCATTGGAAATAGAAAACAGTTGCCTCCTGTGTTCCCAATTGTAGTAAAGACAGAATGGGCCTCAGGGTTCTGAGAAAACTGTTTTAATGTCCCAGCTCTGTAACTTAGTACTACCTGTATACTAATGGGCGAATTACCCTCTTCGAGCCAGTATTCTCATTTGTGTTAATTCTCTCCCTCTTTTCTACTATTATTTATTTGACAAATATCCCAGAGTGGGGGAAGCACATACTCTGCTGTTGGTTGCCTTCTTGCACAGGACTTACTATAAAATTTTCTATGGCTCCATGTACTTCTAATTGAAGTCCCCGTTCCTCATGGTAACTTTGAGTGCTTGCTTCTGTCTGAGCCCTAGTTTGTCTTATCTTATTTCCTAAAACAATCCTGCTGTAGTCAGCCTAGTTTAGTCTGCCTGTGCCTCTCGCTCTCTTGCTGTCACTGTCTTTCTCTTTTTAACATTCCGACAATGAGTTTGTGCACACCTAGAACACATGTCCTCCATTCTCGAAATACAGCCTGTTGAAATCTTCTTGAACTAGCACTTACTGTTATCCTCGCTTATTTGACATTGAATCATAACGCTGCAACTGTATTCTTTCCCCTCCCAGAGCTTTTCACACATGTATGCCTTCATTTCCCTGGAGAGATTAAATTTGCACAAGGCAGGGATCAGGCCTTATGCTTGCTTCTTCTGCAGGGTTTAACACAATACCATGAGCACAGAGGTTCTTAGTAGTACTTGTGGAATTAATGGATATATGTTGAACTGATTTTTTTTCCCCCCCTGAAAATACTGTTACTGAACAAATTGCTCGTTTATGGCTACATGTATAGTATATATCCACATAAACCTGGAGCAAGAGTCATGGGAACAGGCAAAATAAATGAAATATGAGGACTTGAACATTATCAAGTAATTCCTCTCTGCTTTTTTAGGACTTATCTTTATTGTAAGTTGTTAACTTGTCTTTGACCATGGTCAAATTTTCTAGTCTTTCAAAATCAGATTTTCACTCTTTAAAAAACATATACTAAAATAACATCCTCTAAACTTTCTGGGGGCAGCATGAACGGATGTCAGATTAGGTTCAGATATAAAACCTTCGTTTCTTTTTGCTTATTTAGGCAGGTGCCGGTCAGGAGAAGCGAAAGGAAGATGGCAAGAAGAGGAACAAAGAAGGGACTGGAGAGGGAGGTCGGGCAGAGGTAAGTGTTTCAGGCTCTGTTACCAAGTTTGACAGGTGGCAGAGAGCTGCCTGACTTACCCTATGTCAGACTCTCAGGGTTTACATGGAACTGTAAGACGGACTAGGTGAAATTTCAGAGAGAAGAATTAGGGAAATCTGGGAGGGGAAGAAAGACTTGCAGTTATTTGTTATTGAAAAAGGAAAACAACTGAAATATAATTGTAAGATAGTCTGTGGGATTAGATATGAAAATCAGAACCAAAGGTAGAGAGGAGACTGGAATCACTCTGTTGCCTCATTGGATGCTGGCTGGCTGATAGCTCCCTTCAATGGGATGTTAAAGGGGGAAGACTTGATGTTGGAGCTTATACTGAATACAGTAGAAACCCAGAAAGCCCACTTCCTTGACCCCATTCACACTCTTCCCACCTGGACCTTCTACTAAGGTTTGGTTTTGAGCCAGGACAAATCTGCCTCTCAGGTGCAGAGAAAATGCTTTCAGTTTCCCCAGCTCAGACCAAAAGGAACTGACTTTCGAAGTCAGCCTAGAATCTGCCTGGTTCCTGGGTGCTGTGCTTCAGGAGGTAGTTAAGCTTGTCTTCCTACTTTATCTGTGAAGTTGAGCTGCTGTGAACTGTGCTTCACTTTTTGTTTTAAGTCATTGCAACCATTTTATTAGAGACTCTTTAGAAAACTCCCAGAATGCAGAGGAACAAAGGAATAGGCTATAATAGGGAGTATGTTACAGCACAGTAAACTGGCTTTAAAGAGCTGTTTTGGTAAATGCTGTGATGCTAAATTGATAGTGCTATCACTTACCTAAGGGTGAGTTTGTAGGTGATCAAGAATCACTAAGTTTTGCTTAGAGCCCTGCCTCACTTTTTCTCTTATGTTTTGTCCATTACACCCCACTGTAATTGTGGGGGAAATTATTGATTGTGAACTTTAAATTTTGCAAGTGAATAGCAAAATGCATGTGTACCCTGATTTCTTTTTTATACTTTCAGTACAGTAGTACATGCTGTTCTATCCCAGCTTGAGAATTAGCCTGGAAATAGGAAACAAAGGGTATAATTAGAGCACTTTTCTGAATGGATAATTTTAAGTGCAACATGCAATTACATATATTTGAAATGATCTGTGTGGGAAAAAAGTGTGCAGTGACATGTCCAGGACCTTTCTTCCTCCCCTGTGCTCCATCATTTATGTTCATTACTCTTAGAAGGGCAACGTGCAGGTCTCATTCTTCCCTGTATTTCCAGGGCCCGGCATAGAGAATCCGCTCCATGAATGTTGAATAAATTAAGTTTGACACTAATTTCTTCTGCTTAGGAAGTGCCAAGTGGATATGGAGATAAACTGCAGGAAGATAGAGGGTCATGTGGGTGGGTAGGACTGTACTGATGCTTCCAAGTAGTAGGGCCAGGCAGTGTGCTTCATTCAGCCCGAGGGGTTCAGAGTATATGGTTGTAGAATGACAGGCCCAGAGCTTTTCATTAATTCATTGGGGCTTCACCATCGAGGGTTATGCACCCCTGTTATAATAAAATGCTCCTAAAGTGCCCTTAAACAACTAGAGAAAGAAAAGGACTGCTGGGGGAAGGAATTACAAAGAAATTAGGGCTCTTCCATTTCAAAAGGTGAAGACCGAGAAAAAGTATGATTGAAATGAGAAGGAAATATTGTATAAGAGGAAAAAAATGTACTACTTCGCATGAGAAATTTATTGTTCTAATAAGTTATATTCAGACAGTCTGAGAATGTATTTTTTAATGATATGGCTAGCTATGTGTTCCTTTTTACTATGATATTTAGGGAAATATTAACCTCTGGATTGACATAGTGGGTGACTATGACCACCAGAAACCATGGAACCCAAACTGGGTGAACAATGAGTCCACATAGTGTGGTTGGTTTTTATTTTCTATTATCAGAAGTCATTTTCTCTAGGATTAAAATCTAGCTTGTACTCCTTTCAGATTAAGTGTGTTATATATTATATATAGAATTTTGGGTAGCTTTGTCAAAACTGAGTAAGTTTTAAAGCATGTATTTGAATAAACTATTATAGCTGATTTAAATCTATGTGAAGATAGAAACTCATGGTAAAATTAAGCCATCTCCTCTTTGCTTTCATATGTAGCTGTTAATATCCGTGTTATTTTCATTTGAAGAGCATAAATTGTGTAGATGTTAGTGTTTGACTATTTTGTGGCCACAGATTCACCACCAGCTTTTTGAAATGTTTTAAAGACTGGAGTCTCTTAACAGTAGAGGAAGTCAAATCTCTGATTCTCTTTTTTTTTTCTTTCTTTGTCAAACTTTTGGGAACCTGAGTGGGTGTTTTATATAAAATATTTTGCTTAATTTAATGTATTGTAAACAGTAATGTTGTGCTGTTTTCTTATATTTGCTAATTAAATACTCCCAAGAAAGAGATACTCAAAGATCATGGCTTCTTTGAATTTAGTAAATACTTCACTTGAATGGGAGCCCTTAAGTCAAATTTGTTGTTGGTTAGTTAAAAATTGTGAGTGGATATATAGTCTAGCCAGCTTCATAGATCATCCCTTGAGCAATATTGAAACAAAATGGAAAAGCCAGCCAGTTTTTATTTTCAGTATTATTTATAGTTGCACTTGTAAGATCATTTAATTAGAAAAGTCTGTAAGAGAGTATTTTAAAAGAAAAATAGTTACCTTATGCAGATAATAGCAAAATGTAATAATTGTTTATTTCAGATGTTTGCAGCCTTATATTTATTATTATTTATACTCTCTATTTAAAAATTTTTTTTTTTAATTATAAGAAGAGAGCAGTTAGGTTCTTTCTTACCTTTATGTAGGACAACATTAAGGTTACCCTTGTTGATTTTTGCAATCTGTTTACCACATTGAATTAGTAATTGTGTTTTTTGTATTGTCTATTTTTATTATTTCCCTTTTCTAAAAAGGAAAGCAAGTAGTATTTACCTATTATTTATTTCTTCGTTTGTTGTCTTGCAGCTAAATCCTTGGCCTGAATATATTAACACGCGTCTCGAGATGTATAATAAACTAAAAGCAGAACACGATGCCATCCTGGCAGAAAAAGCAGAAAAAGATAGCAAGCCAATTACTGTCACTCTGCCTGATGGCAAACAGGTCTCTGCGGAATCCTGGAAAACGACACCGTATCAGATTGCTTGTGGCATCAGGTATCTGCTGCACCTGCCTTGCTTGATCTTCTGTTGTTTGTAATTAAACTTAAAAAAATTATTTGCCAAGTTTTATCCTCAAAACATTTCTATGTTACTGTTTAATGTTTTTAATGTTTAATTTACATTATTTGGAATTTTTCAAAATGGGGAGCTTTATAGTCAAGATTCAAAGTTAATTTCTTAGAGACTCCACTTTGGTTTGATCTTGTGAAGGATTCTATATGATTAGTTCTTCTACCTTGGTCATAAATGTCACAAAAACCAAGTAGACAAAATGTCTCAGTTTTAAAGTTAAATGAAGTTTGGTCATCTCACAGGGGAAAGTTAGGAAGCTAATACAGAGGGGTGCAATAGTCGGCTTACCGCTGTTTGTATGGAAAATAATACAGTCATAAATAATAATGCAAGAACTCTGTGTTTCATGTACTCACAACTGTAAACCTACTTTTACCGCACCCTGTATGTTGAGATGAAATCGTTATATGATTGTCAAAAAGGGTTGATTGTCGTCAGTTTCATATTGTTGAACATAAGACATAAAATAACAAGTAAACAGGTTTGGCAAGCAACCCAGCTGATTAGTGGTAAAGCCACTGTGCAGCTGGTGGGAGTAGAGGCAGCTAGGCCTGTGAGCCATGAGTCTTCAGTGTGCCGTGGATATTGGTTAGAACTTCTTATAAAGAGAATAGAGTATTTTAGTTAGTTTGACCACTGCTTCTAACTAAAATACTACCTTACTCCAAAGGAAATAACAGAGTTGTAATATCAAGCCAGTTCCCATGCAAGATCATAAATAATTGGATAGACCTTCAAATATCAGTTCAATCTGTCATTTTAGAGGCAATTTTGAAGGTCATTTGGTGAAGAGATTCCTCTATTGTGCACTGATATTGTAGCTGAGTCAGTATTAAAATTCATTCTCCTATTAGTCCAGGAACTTTTTCTTTACATTCTACAATATTGTCCTCCAGGTTACATCATAATTTGTCAAGTGGCAAATTGAAAATAATTTTCGAGAACTGCAAAATTTTAAATTGAATTACATAAGATATTGATGCACTTTAGAGCTGGAGTTGAGTCCCTGATTTGCAAGTGAGGGTGTTTTAAGACATTTTTACAAAAGTCTGGAATAACTTCTTGTTCTGTGAAAAGTTTCAGCACTAGTAACAGGCTGTTTAAAGGTTCAGATGACTAGTAATAAATATGACAGGGAAGAAAAAAGAAGGAATGCTCCATTTGCTTCAAAAGGTTTTTCTTTGAAGTTTTGTTTTGTTCTGTCTTAAAGTATGGATTATTTTATGCCTTCTTTGGAAAATTGAAATGATCCAGTATGGTCCATGTATAATCTTTATTTTCAAAGTAAGTATTACTGGCATCTCATGGCATCATTTTGGACCCTAAGATAAAAGTCACTTTTTTCCTGAAGAATATAGAGTATAGCAGTTGCCTTTTGATCAGTTCTTTAGTCTTCTGAAAACTGTTTTACACCAAATGGTGCAATACATTTCTCTCTGCCAAATCCATGTATGTTTTGGGAAATGTGCATATTTTATTGGCTCTGTTTGATCACAGGAGGACGGGAAACATTGGATATAACCCATGGGAAATTTAATGGGAACATTGAAAATGGGATAAGAATTTATTGCTTACTTTCTGTTCTTCTGTCCTTAAGTCAGGGAGGTTGTATAAACTTAAACAGAGCAAGGAGAGAAGTACAGCACAGCAACTCCAGCCTTCTGGTGGCATAGTTCAAGACTGACCCTGTAAAGGCTGTGCGCTTTCCCTGCGTAGTTAGTGTGCCTGCTCTTGCTGAGTTGTCAAGACTGTTATAGACCCATTTCTCTAGCTACACGGTCAGACCTACAGTCTGACTGACCTTGCTCAATTCTGCCCTAGCTACGAAGCTTCCTGAACCTTTCTTAACTTGCATCCCTGTTTACATCCATCCCCATTCCCTCCTCTGGAGTGCCCTGTCGTCTCCTCTCCTTCCTGTCCAGCTCTTTTGGTCCTTCAGCCCCTCATTGCTTTATCCTCAAAGCCTGTTCAGACCCCTCTGACCCGTGCTGCCTTCCCCTCCTCAGTTCCTGTGACTTTTACACACTTGGCGTGGTCTCACATCTCATCATGTGATGACAGTTTGCGTAGTGTACCACATACTGTTCTAGATGACATTTTTATCCATATTATTTAAAAATTTTTATTGCCCGGCCAGGTGTGGCTCAGCTGTTGAGCGTCAACCTAGGATCCAGGCGATCGGGGTTCGATTCCCGGTCAGGGCACATGCCTGGGTTGCAGGCTTGATCAGTGACTCTTTCATCATTGATGTTTCTATCTCTTGTTCTCCCTCTCCTTTCCTCTCTCTGAAATCAATAAAGATATATTTTTTAAAAACATTTATTGACTAGTCCTTTACCTTACCCATATATTTGTTATAAATAATACCATCTTAGGCATTTGCAGAATCTGTTTGAGGTTAGCATTGTCTCTCAGAAGAAGTTCTGTTACAGATTTCAACCAGGAGGTAGAGCAGAGAAGTTGTTTAATATCTGCTATCCCCCCCTTTGCCATTGGATCCTAAGTAGCTTGGCTTTGTGGAGAGCTTATTTGGAGAAAATGAAAAATCAGACCACTGAAAATTATTATTGTTTGTGTATCAGAGTTGCTATATCTTCTTAAATAAGCATTAAATGTGATAAAATAATATTTTGAATTTTCAGGATCTTGCAGTTATATTTTTAGGTACATGGGTGCATTTGGGGGGGTTTATTTCAGGAAGATCTATATATTATGTAGTGTTACAGTGCAGTATCCTCTAGTATATATATATAGTGTTATAGCATATACATAGTATTATATATAGTCTTACATGTATTATATAGTGTTTATTGTCCTGTTGTTTTTAAGCCAAGGCCTGGCTGACAACACCGTGGTTGCTAAAGTGAATAAGGCTGTTTGGGACCTAGACCGCCCCCTGGAGGAGGACTGTACCTTGGAGCTCCTCAAGTTCGAGGAGGAGGAAGCGCAGGCAGTAAGTGCTCAGCGTCCACCAAGGCTCAGGGCGGCGATGCTCATTTACACCGTTCAGCTCATCACCACTGCCAGTGGGTGACTAAAGTTCCTTGAGGTCTCCTTTTCATACTCGAAATCTTTATTTTTGTCTTTCATTTGGGGAACTTAATAAAAGTGCTTGCCCTATAAAAATCAAGAGGTGAAGTTAAATAAATTTATTGTCACTACTAGATACTAAAATGGGGAAATTTTTCTGGAAATGCTATTAAAATTTTATTACACATTGGTTAGGCAAGTAAAACTTGTTTTTGTTTTCTACACTGTCAACATTTAAGCGAGACGTATGTATATATTTAACAAATAAATTTGAACATTACTTAAAGTACTTTTAATATTGGAAAGTTGACTTCCATATTTTTTCTCAGCTTCAAATGCAGACCTGCTGAAAGCACGGCAAAAACCAACATGCACATGGTGCAAGGTTTTCTCCTTCCTACTTCAGGACGGTCACTATAGAAAGGGAAAGAAAATGTGGTTTTATTTTGTTTCACTGATGATGGTTTCCTTTTATATGTGAATCAATGGTTGTCAAATGTATTCTGGATTCCTTAAGTTTTTTAAGAGAATTTAAAAATTGTGTGGGTGCCTTTCTATTAAATCTTAAAACTGTTGCTTCGGATACATTCCGACTCATCTGAATGACCATCTTAAAGCCAAGTACTGCCATTTGATTTTAGTGTCCCTATCTTTGTCCTTGTAATTTCTAGTTGTGCCGTGGTGTTGTTGTACTGCCTTAGTTGTTTGAGGCCAGTAAGAAAACAGATAAAATTCTAAGTGCTGCTCCACAGCCCAGAAAAGGCAGAGCACAGCACATGGGATGTGGGCACAATGACTCAGGAGACCCTGGGCCATTGCAGTCAAGAAGACAGTCACGTTTTGAGTGGCAATTGCTTTCAGGGAACAAAATCCATCCCATTTAATTAATGATGCTAATTTGAATTTAATTAGTTTGAAAACAAACTAGGTAATTTCTAAGGTATAAATACACTTTAATTAGCATCCTTTTAAATTGTTTTGGCTCTGTATAGAATCACAGGATAGTTTATAGATTTGTAAATTTAGATTTTTCTGTCTTGGGTTTATTTATAAATTTTTAAAAATATGTTTTTATTGATTTTAGAGAGAGAGGGAGAGGGAGAGAGAAAAGACCCCCTACTTGGGATGGAGCCCACAACCCAGGCATGTGCCCTGACTGGGAATCGAACCCATGACCTCTTGGTTCATGGTTTGATGCTCAACCACTGATACACACCGGCTGAGCATATAATAAATTTTATATCTCTCTTTCAGATGATCATCTTAACTTAGGCATATGCCCAGTCTCAAACCTTCCCATTTTTCTTTGAATTTTCAGGTGTATTGGCACTCAAGTGCCCACATAATGGGTGAAGCTATGGAAAGAGTCTATGGAGGATGCTTATGTTATGGTCCACCAATAGAAAATGGATTCTATTATGACATGTACCTTGAGGAAGGGTAAGTTCTATAATTGGATAAAGAGAAGTAAAACCTGAATTACCATGAGTCTATACGTTATTTTTAAAGAGTTCTCAGTAAAGGAGGGATGATATAATGCTTATTGCTTCGTAGTCCCCAAGCATTCCTACTATTAAAACTTGAAGTGTGTAGTAATTTGTAAAGGTGTAGAGACTTTAGTGAGAGCTTTGTTCTAGATCGATGGAGGCAGAGCCCTAAGGTGTATTGGGAAATAAAACGAAGCCGGTCCTCTCCTTCCCTTTCCACCAGTTACAGAGTTGGAGGGAGGAGTCACTGGTGGGAACAGTCTGCATGATGGCCAAGGCAGTAGCCACTGAAAGTGTAAATTATTAAAATGATTTATGAAAAATGTTTAGTTTATAATTCTATATGATGCAAGGGTCTAATTTTTTACATGAAATCCCTTGAAGTGTTCTAAAGAAACATTCCTCCGGCCTGTGGTGTGAGTAGAAGGGAGTGGACAGAAATTAATTTTGTACCTTCTTCTCTTTCAGGGGTGTGTCGAGCAATGATTTCTCTTCTTTAGAGACCTTATGTAAGAAAATCATTAAAGAAAAACAAGCTTTTGAAAGATTGGAAGTTAAGAAGGAAACCTTATTGGAAATGTTTAAGGTAAATTGAACTGTAACATATGGCATCTACTCTCCTATCATAATTAATGTGATTTGAAGTCGTTATACTGGGGTTTAGGGTACTAAGTGGAAACCTATTCTGTTCCTTAGAAAAATTTAACAATGTTTTCAAACATGAGATATTGACATATTTATAATCATACACTCCTTTGATAAAATGCACTTCGAATTATATTTTAGTGATAATATTTAGACATAAAAATTGAAAGAGCGTTTTCAAAAAATAATATTTCCTGTTTTCAGTACAACAAGTTCAAATGCCGAATCCTGAATGAGAAAGTGAATACTCCAACTACCACAGTCTACAGGTGAGACTATCAAACGCCGTTAAGCACATCTGGCATGTATGCCATTTTAAGTCTTTATTAAAATTCCTTTCACTTTGTCTTTAGGTGTGGCCCCTTGATAGACCTCTGCCGGGGTCCTCATGTCAGACACACTGGCAAAATTAAGACGTTGAAAATACACAAAGTAAGCAATGGAACTTTAAAGACTCTCTCCATATAAATGCATTCGTCTAGTGTAGACATATGTTTAAACTTCTATTGGTTTCTCTTTCTGCCAGTTTTCTTTTGGGAGGCTTTTTCCTCATGCTGTCTCCTAACTACGGTGCTATCTGTCATTAGCCATTTTTAGCAGAAATTCTCAAGCAGTGACTGACAGGCCATCCACCACCAGGGCACATGGGGGTGGAGGTTTGAGGGATTCACGGGATCACGCAGTCATGGCCCATCATGGCTCCAAAAACTTCGAGACTCACTGTAGGAGTCTGTGCTTTTGCCCTGTGTGTGTCTAAGGTAGTAATTACCCAAGGCGCTCTCGTTAACCAACCTAGTCCTGCCTGTTTATACTAGTTCATAAATACTTTATGGGCGATTATTAAAATGCACTTTAAATCATAAGAATAATGGAGCCATGTCAAGATTTTTTTGTTGGTTTATTTTCTGTGTTCACTTACTCGTTTTGTGAAAGGAGCCCTTGCCATCAGTCATGTTGGTGGACTTGTGGTTTGAGTGGGCACTGGGGGGGCTTTCTGAGGGAACCGAACAGCCACCTCTGCGTGGAGCGACCCCAGCTATTTCTGTACCGCCCCAGAGCCCCTGGGAGATGTTTCACTAAGTGTGGCTTCTCATGAACTTTTCTTGTATAAGGACTCCTGTGAATTTGATTCATAAGGTGGCCGTGAGAAATAACATCTAACTCTTAACGTGAGTGAGATATTTACAAATTTGAGTATCGTTTCATGGTTGGTCCTTGTTTTCAGAACTCCTCTACGTACTGGGAAGGCAAGGCGGATATGGAGACTCTCCAGAGAATTTACGGCATTTCATTCCCAGATCCTAAGCTGTTGAAAGAGTGGGAGAAGTTCCAAGAGGAAGCTAAAAACCGAGATCATAGGAAAATTGGGAGGGTATGTTAAAAAAGAACAGTAACGTGTCTAGAATGAGTTTATTTTCATTTGAAATTCAGCTGTATTAAATATTTAGCTATATGAAGAATTTTCTTTTGACAAACTGCTGTAGCTTTCAAGTGTTATTGTTGTGTCCTATATAAGCCGAAATTACTGTTGTCCACATTAGCTTTCAAGAGTGTGCTCAGTGTTGCACAAATATTCATTTTAACTGTTTTTTTTTTTTTTATTGAGGGCAAATTCTGATGACTTACAGTCTTCTGTAAAAGAAGTATAGCAGTGCCTCATAGAGCTGAGAGACACTTTGGAAATTTGCCTGGTCTCATTGACTTATTTTAAAGATGTGGAAACTGAGTCCCAGAAAGATTAATATCCTTGTTGCGCAAGGTGATGCAGCGAGTCACCGCTGGATTCCGTGGTGTCATTTCCTTTATCCTTCTGCCCGTTTTCCAAACTGGAAGTTAGGTTTTAGATGAAAACATTTCTTTGTGAAATTATGTTGACTCTGTGCCAGGCATCCTTGGCTTCTGGGTTAGAAAGCTTGAGCAGGAGGCAGCATCCAATGCCACGCTCTCTTGACTGCCTGAAGTCAATTCTAGCAGTAAGGAAACCAGCAGTGATCAGTGGGGCACCTCCTGGAAAAGTCTGGGCCTTCGGAGGGTAGAGGGGGCACTTCATTCACCACGACCCAGAATCAGCCAACTTTATCTCCATTTTCTGTTTCGTTATCAGTGTCTTTTTCCTAGTCTCCTCCCTGCCACTCCTACTTTTAAAAAAATAATAATAATAATGAAGAAAAATTTAAAACACCCAGATCTTAGAGCTTTAAGGAATCAAAACCATGAGAGCCCCCTCTGGATAGAAGAGACCTAAGACCTGTGCTCCATATATTCGAAATGTTGGCATGTTTTCTTTGCATTGGGGATCGGCACAAATTAAAATATGAGACATTGTGACCACATTCTTAAGAACATCGATGTTTGTGTTGATGATTGTACATATAGACATTCTTTGCTTTTCTTTTTCCAGGACCAAGAGCTGTATTTCTTCCATGAACTCAGCCCTGGAAGTTGCTTTTTCCTGCCGAAGGGAGCGTACATTTACAACACACTAATTGAATTCCTCAGGGTAAACCACAGACATTATTTTCTTCGGTAGATTTAGGACATACATTGATTTTATTAAATAGATCTGCTAACAGGAAAGATAATCTTGTATTTTAAAAGAATAAATACAAATGGAATCTGAGGTCTCATAAAATTTTTAAAAACTTCTTTCTTCCTAATATATGATTTTGTCCACATACATGGGCATGTATATGAGAGAAGCCAGTGACCTTGAACTAGAACTTTTAACCCTTTACACAGGTGCTCTGCGTGCGCTTTGACTACTCATTTATATTTTCCTTGAGAAAGCAAATTCATCTTTACCTGCTGTTCTCTTTGTAAATTATGAAGTGTTTAAAGCATATGTTCATAGAGAATAATACCACCAACATCTATGTGCTCACCACCTAATTGAACATGGGTTTGCATTTGGTTATGTTTGAAGTAAGTAATACGCCTATAGGAAGGGGGAGACAAGCCCCCTTCGGGCATCTTAGTGATCTGCTCTCTCCTTTCCTAGAGGAAACTACTCCTGAAGTTAGCAAGGCTCCTTTTTATCTGTTATTGTCCATCTACCCCATACAAATGCATCCTTGATTGTTTGTGTTTCAGATTTGCCAACAGGAAGTCTCATTGTGTGTCAGAATTGTGATTTTTTTTTTTTTTTTTTAGATACATCCAAATCCAGTTTATTGTCACTTGTTACATATTCTGTTATACAACTACCACAGTGTGCCCATTCTTTTATTGATGGACACGGGTGTGATTTCTGATTTCCCTATATTACTAATTGTGGTGCAGTAGCGTCATTTCAACAAGCCTCCTTATGTGGATGTGCAAGTTTTGTCTTTGGTATATACCTCCAAGTAGGATTTCTAGATTATAGCATGTGTGTCTTGAACTTTACTAGAGAGTATGAAATTGCTCTTTAAATTTTTACTTCCACCACAAGTATGAGCATTGGTTTTTAGGCTTGCGTTCTTTTTGTTTTCTAACAGAGTGAATATAGGAAACGGGGGTTCCAGGAGGTGGTCACCCCAAACATCTTCAACAGCCGACTGTGGATGACCTCGGGCCACTGGCAGCACTACAGCGAGAACATGTTTTCCTTCGAGGTGGAGAAGGAGCAGTTCGCTCTGAAACCCATGAACTGCCCGGGACACTGGTATTGAGCAGCTCTGAGTTCTGTTGAAGATTCTCCCATAGTGCATTTAATCCTATGCCCAGGACACTGGTACTGAGTTTCTATGGAAGACTCTTGAATGCTGCATTTAGTTCTAGATTGCTTTTCTTCCTTTGGAAGAATTTTTCTTAAAAACAGGTTATGTAATCAGAGAATATTTAAAGGCAGCATTATTGTGGTATTGTAATTGCTTCTATGCCTGATTTGGTTCTCAGATCTGTAGACACTGAAGAATGGCAGTTGGTGAGTAATAGCAGTGAACAGGCAGGATATAGAGCAGGGAGCCTGGATGTGGGGAATAGCATCAAAACCTAGTGCTAATAAATTAACATCCTTGGGAAATCTTTGCCTTGAGGCTCTTCCACTTTCTATCCTTGAAAGTTGGGTGAACAGCAACTTGGGGGAAAACGAGGGAAGCTGTGATTCCAGGCAGCTCAGCGTGTATAGCTCCTAGTAGGGCCTCAAGGGCAGAGGAGGTAAGAGAGGAATGTTCACAGAAACTGGGTTGTCAGGAGGCCACCTGAGTTCATCCTTCAAAGTGTCTGAAGCCCCTTCAGATTAACAGGGAACTGAAGCACTTCTGGGAGGTACAAAAAAGCAAGACCTTAGTTTCCAGAGTTACACATGATTTGTATGCAGCTAAGTCTCTTACTATAGGCAGGCCTCAAATTAGTGGAGGTACTGAGCATAAGGATGTGTCTGCAGACTCATGGGAATACATTTGTTATTCTCTCTTAGTTCTGGGTGGCTGTGTTATCATTTATTTGCTGTTTTGTTCATGCCAGTGCTGCCATTGTTGTATGGAGCCCAGGATTAGAGAAGTGTTGCTTGTCTGAACAGCTTGGAATCAGCGGCTTTTTGACAGCCTTTCATATAATATTAGAGAAGTGGTTTTATTGTATTCAATGTCAGTGGCTTCTACTCCTCTCTTCAGCCTCATGTTTGACCATCGCCCAAGATCCTGGCGCGAGCTGCCTCTGCGGATGGCCGACTTCGGGGTCCTCCACAGGAACGAGCTGTCGGGGGCACTCACCGGCCTCACACGGGTGCGGAGGTTCCAGCAGGATGACGCTCACATATTCTGTGCCATGGAGCAGGTATGGGACTTTGTGGCAGAAAATATGTCGAAAGGAAGGTCAAGCAAGTTGAGGAAAATCACCGCTATGTCATTTTCTTTCATTTAAAGATCGAGGATGAAATAAAAGGTTGTTTGGATTTTCTGCGTACAGTATATACCATATTTGGATTTTCTTTTAAACTGAACCTGTCTACTCGGCCAGAAAAATTCCTTGGAGATATTGAAATCTGGAATCAAGCTGAGAAAGTAAGTGGTGTTTCAGCATGTTTGAATTATACTTGACTGAAATTGGATTCTTCCGCAATGTAAGAAAGCCAAGCCTCTTTAAATGGATAAAAGCAAAAGAAAACTGGAAATGGTTCCTAGGTTTGAGCAAGCTAGTTTTTTTCCTGTATGATTGCGTATTTAGAAATGCTTGGATGTGTTTTCAGTCATCAAACTATAACCTTTAGAGGGGTTTGTGTGCGAGTATGTTTAAATGGACAAAGTGATGAGCAGAGAATAGTATTTGGGAAAGTAAGTACAGTATTTTTAGTCTCAAATTAGACCAGTTGCAGAGGAACAAAAATTAAAGTCAGTTTTGCTTTATCTTTAGCAACTTGAAAACAGCCTGAATGAATTTGGTGAAAAGTGGGAGTTAAACCCTGGTGATGGAGCTTTCTATGGCCCAAAGGTCAGTACCAAAGTCGATGTGAGTAATGTGATTTTGGTTTTTGGTGAAGAGATTACTTTAAGTTAAAAAGGGGGGGGGGGAGCAGCCAGTGTCGCTCAGTGGTTGAGCATTGACCCATGATCCAGGAGATCTCTGTTCTATTCCCAGTCAGGGCACATCCCCAGGTTGAGGGCTTGGTCCCTGGTGGGGGGTGTGCAGGAGGCAGCCGATCAATGAATCTCTCTCATCATTGATGTTTCTATCTTTCTCTCCCTCTCCCTTCCTCTCTCTGAAATCAATAAGGATATATTATTTTTAAAAAGGGCAGGAGGGGAATCAGCCCTAATGTAACTGAGTTCAGCTTTATTATAGACAACATCTTACAATAACCCAGTCTTTGCTTCTTAGATTGACATACAGATCAAGGATGCCATTGGTCGGTACCACCAGTGCGCAACCATCCAGCTGGATTTTCAGTTGCCCATCAGATTCAATCTTACTTTTGTGAGGTGAGTTCCTAGTGTCTGTTGTAAGTATTCTTCAAGGACATATAACAGTGTGTGTGTGTGTATATATACATATATACATATAATAAAATAAAGATATATATGTATGTATGTATAAAAATAAAGGAAAACAAATTATTATTTTTTCTTTCTAGCCATGATGGTGATGATAAGAAAAGGCCAGTGATTGTCCACAGAGCCATCTTGGGATCCGTGGAAAGAATGATCGCCATCCTCACTGAAAACTATGGGGGCAAATGGTAGTTTTCATTTTGTTTCCTTCTGCTTCTGTCTGGACTATGTAACTTGAGTGCTGTCCAGTGAGTTATGTGATGGAAAGGGAGAGTGATTGCAATTAATCAGGTCTAATTAGTGACAAGTATTCACCTAAAAGTAAAGCAGCACAGTTAAAACCCCAATTTTTTAGCTGTAAGAGTATTTGTTATGAGTAATTGTTTTTATTTCAGAACTTGATTTGTTGAATGTTATACTTTCTAATTAGAAATTATTATTCAGTAAGAGGCATACTTGTTGTTTTGATTGCTTTACGAGAAACTTTGATGTTTTGTCTGAGTAAACAAGGGCAGCCTTTGGCTTATATTGCCCAGCGTTGCTGCACATGATGATGAGTATTTGGACACTGTTGAGAAGCCACACATTTTTAAATTGAGAGAGTACAGGCTCCAAACCAATCAACATTTTGTGCTTTCTTTTTATAAGGTTATGTTTTTGCTGGAAACATAAGACCACATGACTTTCGTTTTACACTTTTGCCTGGGTGCACAATTTGTCAAGGCAGTGGAAAACAACACAAGGTTATAAAAACGCTCATTTTGTACAGCCTGCTATAGTATTCTGTTGATGCAAAACTTCTGTAAAGTGTTGTAAATATGTTTTGTTGTATCCATTGCAGTTATTTCAGTCATATTTGTAATTTGATTAGTTCCAACATTAAGGGAGTTTGTCATGCTTATCAGTGCACTAAGATAATCTCTTTTCAGTTATATTTCACAAATCAAATCAAATATGGGAAACATTCTCTACGTGAATCTCGAGAATAGGGGGATCCTCAGCTAATTGCTCTGCCAACAATGCTTGGTGGAAAAGCTCACAGGTTGGGTAGAATTTAGTGCCTACTCCAGTCTTTTCCCTGATGTAACCAAACAACTTAAAATAGAGGAATGATCAAGAGAAACACTGACGTCTGCAGCATCGGGAGGGTTCGACACCCGAAATACTCCAAAGGGAGAATTGCAGGTGGGGCCAGTCATCTTTTACTAAGTAGTGAAAACACATTAATTGTTACCAAATACCTTCACCAGCCACTATTAGTTACAACTTGCTGAATTCTGCAAAATGGATCTTCAATAAACTGGAGGGACAGTCTGTGTGCGCCCCCCCTCCTCGTGAACAATAAGTAATAAGAGTTAAACAAAATAACTTTTTGAATAAAATAACTCTGAATCAGTAGGTGTGGTTCTTTAGCCACTGGTTGACCCCTCTGCAGCCAGCACATGGTGGTGTTACCTGATGTACTGAAGCCTGAGACTTAGTCCCTGCCCCCAATCTGCTTTGCCGTCTGCTTAGCAGGAGAGAACTTCGTCACTGAGTTTTCTTACTTGGAGTTGGTTTTCTGCTCCTTCATCCCGTTAGTCTTTATTGGATATTGAAATAAAAGCCATGTTTTTAAAGTGGCCCTCACGTGTTTAGGGAAAGGACACTGAGGAGTAGCCTAATAAATGAACGTGCTGTCCTTTATTAGGAAATTCCACATTAAATATTTTTAATCTCTTCCTAAGGCCCTTCTGGCTGTCTCCTCGCCAGGTAATGGTAGTTCCAGTGGGACCAACATGTGATGAATATGCCCAAAAGGTAATCCTCAAGTATGACTTGTCTTTAAATTTAATACCTAGTGTTCAGCTTTTCACATCCCATAAGCTGTATCTTTGGTGAATCAAGCGGCTTGTGATAGAAAGAAATGTTCCTATTTTTAGTCTGTGGTAAGCTCTAAGAGATCAGATCACCTCCTTAATGCTTCTCTACGTGGTCTGTGATGAGAAGACGTAGTGGGGCAGTGTCTTATGTGCTCTTGTTCGAGCCTTTAGCATTAGCAGGTAATGCATGCCTTGGTATAAAATGTCCATTCAGATGCATAATATAGTCAAAGAGCAATTTTGCTTCATTTTCAATGCAAATTTCTTCAATTATTTGAAGCCATTTTTCAGGTTAAAGCCAGGCTAGATCAGTGTTTTGCCCTACTTTTCAAAAAACTACCTTAGTAACAGATACAGAAATGTTCTTTCATGCTTCACACCTGAAAGACTAGGGCAGTCTGTTTTGTTATAGCAGCAATTCTATACTAAGGATATTAAATTATCAAAAGGTGTGTTGTTAAAAAGCATTGTTTCAGAATTGCAAGTTAAAAGTAATAGCATGGTTTGTTAAAAGAAACAAAAATCTAAATATCATTGAACAATCTTATCAAAATTATGTTTCCAGATCATCAAAATAAATTACCTTCAGGTTTCAACTGTCTTTAAGAAATAAATGAACATTAAGCCAGCTAATAAGCAAACCATTTAGACATACTGTATTCCTACTACTGCACAAAGTAGTTTTAGTTATAAATAATGAAAATCAGCTATGTTCCATGATTAATTCATTGTCCTTTATCTTATATGCATTATGAAGACTCACTCAGGAGGAAAATGTTTGAATTAGTTAATTCATTTCTCAGCTGGAAACAGTACTGACCTCCTCTGCCTTGGGGTGGAGTGGCATTTGGAATTATGTGGGGGTGGGTTTTTATTTTGTTTTTTTCTGATTATATTGACTGAGGCTTAATGACTAGAGACCAGAGGTATTAAATAGTCTGTAGTTATGGGGCCACTTCCCCCCCAGCAGAATAGCCCACCTTACATGTGCACAGGCCCATGTTGAGAAAGTAAGACACTGGTGCTTTTTCTTAAAGTGGGTTATAGTAGAAAGTGTAGTCTTATATAGGTACTCGAATAAACTATGTAAGAACCCTTCTGAAACGCCCATACTTATAAGCTCCCAACAGGTGCACTGGTTAATGACCACTAAGGCATGAAAACCTGTTAGTGAAATAAAAAAGCTTCAATCAGATCTTTTTGTCATATTTGTGGTAATTAGTTGACAGGTAAATGAAAAATTAATCTAGTGTATTTAACTTAATTTACAATTAATACAGTATAATCTAGTATTGCTTTTTTTTGGGAAAGGAAAAATATTAAGCATTGTTTACTTACTACATGTACAAAGACTTGAGACTAAAGTGGAATTGGTATTTTTAAAGGGGAAAGGAAGCAGTGAATAATATCTAATGTTAGTTTGCTAACTTTAAATTCCTGGAAGTTTATTTCAGGATGTTCCAATTTGATCTTTGGCTCTAACTCCTTCATCTGCCACCTTTATTTAATAAGCTTTTTTCTTTATTTTTGGGGGGTGAATTTTCAAGACGTGTGGATATATAAAGTTGTGAGGAGAAAAGAATAGTTGTTAGCCTGATTTATGGTGTAAGATGACTTAGGAGAAAAGAGGCTACATTTTATTAAGAACAAGATAACCTGGTGATTAGTTAATGATATAAAAAAAAATCAAACAAAAAAACCAACAAATAAATTTGTCTCAACACATTTAAAGATCAAGTCAATCAAAGTGAGTTCCATTAGTAGCTCTATAGAAATAGTGTTATTTACAGGTATTGTAATAAAATCTGGTAATATGTGTCCATTTGCTAAACCATCAAAGTATCCAATATTGACATTTATATCCCTCATCATGTTTTGAAGAAACACACCATTTTTGTGCTTATATCCCCCGTCAGACCCTGACAACAGGAAAAGTCTTCCCTCATGTTTCCAGTGATGAGCTCAGTGCCCAGCATATGGCGGGAAGACCTTCCTGGTGAGCAAGGTGGCAAATAGAGCAAGCAATATGTTGGTGGAAGTAGCTGAGCTAGGACATAATAAGCGTTCTTTTAATCCAAAAGGAAACCACAAGTTGCCCTCTTACCGCAGTAGGCAGTGCGTCAGTCTCATCATCTGAAGGTCAAAAAGGAAATCACTGTTGAGAAAGAAAAAATTACTTTTTAATATTTCTTGAACCTGATATTTGCTTTTATTCAGTTATTCTCATAGACTTCTACTTAATTAAGTCATTGTATACACAAAGTTATTAAAGAACTAATTTTTAATGCTTGCATGATTTTCCAAATTACAGGTTAAATAAAATCATTTAAGATCAAAATATGAATGTAATTTTAGATCTGAAGAATTCTATGTCTGTTTAAATAGGTCCGGCAACAATTCCACGATGTTAAATTCATGGCGGACATCGATCTGGATCCGGGCTGTACCTTAAATAAGAAGATCAGAAATGCACAGTTAGCACAGTATAACTTCATCCTGGGTAAGGAAGGAAATTAACCAGAGAAAAGCTGCCACACCTTCGGACAGTTCTGAAATCTTGAGACTCAGGCTTAAGGGAATGGTCATCCTCAGTTTAGTTGCTTTCAGTCCTGATTCTGAAACAAGTGTGTTCAGTTGATATAAGAAAGGAAAACTTTGGTTTGAAAAATAACCTGTAAAGGTCTGTCGAAGCATTTTCTTCCCTTCACCTCTTAATTCTTCCTATGGTAAGTAGTTTTCATTAGGTCAGCTGGACTGAGTGACTCCGTAAGCACAGCAGTGTTGAGCACTGCAAAGAGGGTTTTGTTTTTTAATGAACAGATTTTTAAATCAGGTATCCGACTCTGCGAGGTCACCTGTACATTTTAATCAGAAGAACCTACAGGGTGGCTTTTGGGTCCTGGGGTCCAGTAAGAACCCTCCCATCTAAGGATCCTTACTGTCTTTTGTTTAGTTGTCGGTGAAAAAGAGAAAACCAGCGGCACTGTTAATATCCGCACGAGAGATAACAAGGTCCACGGAGAGCGTACTGTTTCTGAAACCATCGCACGGCTGCAGCAGCTCCGGCAGACCCGCAGCAAACAGGCGGAGGAAGAGTTTTAATGAAGTTGGCGCAACTGGCCCAGCAGAAGAGATGAGCAGTGTTTCCGGAACGTCCCCTTTGTGCTCCAGAAAACACTAACATACACTGAACTTGGAGTAGTTTGGCAGAGTCTGCATAGCTGCCTGCAGGGGGTGAACCTTCTCTGACCTAGACGGGTTTTAGATAATGTGTATCTGAAGGAGATAATTAAAAGAGACACATTAAAATGATTTTATTCCTTAATTATCTGAGCACTGGAAATAAACCATGAGGAATGCTTTAGTGAGATGAGGGAGAACATTTTTTTGTAAATTTAATGCAGTTGGAAAATAAAATTTTTCTAATTTGATTCAGATGAAAGAAAGATGAGACTTTGATTAGGTATAAAAATAAAAACTTGAATTCATGTAAGTTTCAGAAGACTTCTGACCTTCACATGCATCCTACACAAGTGCCTGGAACAGATTGCATGATTCATTCTTTATCGTTAATGTTTTATAGCGAATATGTTAGGTGGGTGGAGGGGAACATCTTTTAGGAGTGCCACTTTTACTCAGCTTCTTTTTGTATATAAACCTTTTAAACAACTAAAGCCAACCATGGACCTAATGTAGAATATTTGCACAGCATTTTAAGACAAATTTGTCAAAGGAATATATGTTTATGGCAGGCTGTTCTGGACCATTCAGTCCCTTGTTACACAGATTCCCTATTTTCTCTCTCGGGATCATTGTTGAATTTTTCTGCCAGTGAATGGTGATTGAGAGAACGCCATGAACTCAGGAATTCCTCATGCATATACGAATCTCTCTTTAATCATTTTTAAAAGGCAACATCTTGGCAGTTTTCTAATAACACCAATAGCGTGTTTGCAAGGGTCACCGAAGAGCAAAGCCAATCTGCATAGATTAGCCCTCTCTTTAATAAAGGAGATACGATCTTTAATCAGGGATTTTTTGAAATTTCACACTTAAGCCTTGCTTCTCTCTGTCTTAAGACTTAGCCTTTGATGGGTTTGTAATTAGTTTTTATATAGATCTTGGGGGAAGCTACCTGTATTTAAACCAAGTCATGATGCCAAAGTCATGAGCATCTAGTCTGTCATTTAAAAACAACATTTTTTATTTCTTTAATCAAAAATTCACAGTATTATAGTTTGGATTTTTTTTTCAGTTTTAAAAAATTCATATTACAGAATCATTTTGTAGTCCAAAGACCAACTATGATTTTAGCTAGATTTTTCTTACCTGTTTTATACTTAAAAGCAACAAACGGCTTATACAATATATTAACAATTTACTTGAGATTGTCCCAGAAGCTTTATAAATCTTCCAGGATTTTAAAGATACAAAAGATCCTAAAGACATAGGTTGGCAGAACTGAGAGCAGAAGAACCCTCTCTGTAACATGCCCCTTAGCCCAGCCCTTGCTTCTGGGGGGGCCACCTGCCAAGGACTCTTAGAGTCTGCGGGCCTGTCCCATCAGAGCTCTTTTCTCTGTAGCTTGTTTTGTTTCCTTCCCTTTTCTGGGAGGCAGAGGCTGCTCTGTTTACTGCCTTACTCATCTGCTCCATTCAGGTATATAAGGGTTGAAAGATTCCACCCGCTAAGCCTCTATTGAGCGTCTGGTCTATTGAGTTATCTTGGTGATCAAATATACAGGAACGATTTGAGAACGACAACAACATTGCAACCACGGTGTGATAAGCTCTGCAAGGACAGATTTTGTGAAGGAAGAGGTACCCATAACAAAATGAGCACCAAAATGTGTAAAATGGGTGCCGAAACCAAAATCCCTGAAAACAGATTGAGGAGAAGGGAGCAGTCAGGCCAAGGCAGGTGAAGAGGGCGTGGGACCTCGGATGGTGACCTGAGGTCACACTTGAAGCCCCTTGCTCCACTTCACCTTTGCTGCAGCGATGGACACCTGCTCCATCCACGCGCCCAGGCTGCTAGGCCGGTGCTTCCAAATTGTCCTGGGCGTACAAGTCCCCGGGAGACGGAAAGTGTGCACTCGTTCTGCAGGCTGGGTGGTCCCGAGACCCTGCACCCAACAAGCTCCAGCAATGCTGATGCTGAGCACACTTGGGGGGAAGGCCCTCACTTCCCGTAATAAAAGTCAAATAGTAACAAAGGCTCGTAAGAAAGCCAGCCTCTCGTCCTGTGGCCCTGACACCATTCGCAGGCAGCCCCACTTGGCCCCGGTGGTGTGGGCCTGTGTTCTCTCCTTGATTCGGCACTTTTACTACACAAGGAACTTTTTTTTTAGGATAAAATACCCGCGAGCACTAAACTACCGGGAGTGGGGTTCGAACCCACGCGGACATGCATCCATTGGATCTTAAGTCCAACACCTTAACCCCTCGGCCATCCCGGCGGCCAGCACTTTTAGAACCGCTCTCCACTGGCAGCACCGGAGGGCTTCAGGCACGCCCCTCCCCTTTCCCCTCCGTCCTAATTACACCTCGGCTTTTTAAAGTCAATTCGTACCAGGTGTCCGTGTTACTATGTCCATAAGTATGATGCCAGTAAGTCAAATAGTAGCCTATGATTTCTTCTAGTACAACTTTTTTGTTTTGTTTTATTGAACTTAAAGATTATCCCTTTTAAAATATTTCCCTTGAATATCTGACTTGAACAGCTTTTATACCTTTTATTATAGTTCTTCCAAAAGTCAGCTCTCCTCCTCTCCAGCTTTTTTGAGATACTATTGACATAACGTGAGTTTGAGGTGTGCAGTGGCATGGTGTGGTACACATAAATACTGTGAAATGCCTGCCACAATAAGCTTCGTTAACACCTCCACCGCCTCAGAATTACCATCCCTAAGTCAAATCTGACGGACAGTTCTGCAGTTTCATTTCTCTAAGACAAAGCCCTTCTAGAACCCTCCGTCCCCTGCCCCACCTGGGCCGAGAGCACGCCCCTGTCAGTCTTTACCGCCCTGCTGTGTTTGGTTCTCTGACCTGGGCTCCTTATCTCCCTTTCTCCTGGGTCACTATTCCATGTTGGTGAACAGGACTTTCCCGCTGCTCTTCACACAAGGATGCAAGGTGTAGAGCTGTTGGCTGAAAATTTTTTTTCTCAGAACTTGGAAGACGTTGCTGCCATTTTCCTCTGCTTTTTAGTGTTTCTCTGGGGAATCCATTCCTATACCGTCCTCTGTTGTCACCTGTCATTTTTTTCCTCCAAAAGATTTCGATTTCTTTACCCTTATTCTGACATTTCTTGATGACTGTAGGTTTTCTGCCTTCGTCACAGTGAGCAGCCTTTTCATTGTGCAGATTCNTTCTCCAAAAGATTTTGATTTCTTTACCCTTATTCTGACATTTCTTGATGACTGTAGGTTTTCTGCCTTCGTCACAGTGAGCAGCCTTTTCATTGTGCAGATTCGGGTCCCTCAGTTCTATGAAATGCTTTTTCTGTTGTTTTTGCTGATTTTCTCCCCTACCTTCTGTCCTTAATGGGCCTTCTAGTATTTAGATGTTCCACTTAGGAGAGATTTTCTTAACTTTTTCTTCCCAGTCATTTGTGTGTGTGTGTGTTTGGTTTTGAAGTTTTCTTTTCCTTATATTCCTATATTAAAGCATTCTGTTCTTGCTCTTTGGATTCAATTGATTTGACCTCAGGTATTTCTTTAACACTGAAGTTTTGTTCAGCACACTGCATTATCTTTACTTTCTTTAAGTTCTCTTGTTTATGTTTTGGCCTCTGTCATGTTGCAAACAGGCCTGACTGCCGGAGATCCCTGTGTAAGAGGGAAGCTTTGAAAAGTCTATTTGAAGTTTGTGTCTGTGCCTATGTGTACGCTCCTTGAAGAATTAGAGGCTATTTTAATTCCAGGCCGCAGAGGGCGATCTTGCCTTATCTAGAGGGATAAATCCATCAGGCAAGGTTGAGGTGAAATCAGTTAAAAAACCTTTGTGCTAGTTTGAACCTCAAGGGGAGATTTTCCAGTTTCCTGCGTTGTTCCATCCTATGTTCATGTCCACTATTGCAGAAAAGTCGCCTTTAAAATTGTTCGACTGAGATGCCTATTGATGCCCAAACAGACTCAGGTGGGAACATCTTTCTGAGTTGCCCACTTAACGGAACCAAACAGCATTATTTGATTATGTTCACGTCTTGAAACAGCACCTTGCCCTAGTCATTCTCATTATAACCAGTAATGGACGTAACATGATAACCGCCTGGAAAGCTGCCCTGGGGATGCCTTGACCACCTCCGATATCATGAGGAGAGGTGGTGAGCAGTGGATGGGCCAGAGCCCTGGAGAAATGGTGAATAGACTTCTGGTTTTTCAGCAGGAAAAAGAAAACTTAAAGTAGAAAGGGGGCGAATGCCTAGGTTGGGAGAAGCAAAGCTTGACCAGAATAAGGAAATCTCTGTTAATAGCTGGACCTGTCAAAGAAGGGAGTCCCTAGAAAAACACCTTTCCCTATGGCATTGCTCCCTAAAGAGAATCGGCAAAGCCCTGTTGCTAAGAGAACTTACAGGAACATTTTAGTTAAATGAAGGATGTCAGGATCAGTTGCCAGGAATTAGGTAGGGATGGAACTAGAGAAAGAGAGATATAAGACTATAAAGGTTTTAAGGTTTGGTAAGTCATTCCCCTCTTNTTGCAGAAGGAACAGCGCTGGGGGTCAGGCTCCGCCTGGGGCTGACCCCAGGCAAATGCGAGCTGGGCCGGGCTGGCCACTGAAGCCCAAGGCTGGGGATCTGGGTCCCAAACTCTAGCTTCACACAGGTTTCCTTTTAAATATACAACAAATACTTTTTACTTATGTCTATGCTTTAAAAAAACTCAGCCAAGTAGATGTGATGACATTTCAGATAAAGAATGAATGTTTGTAAATGGCAAGAGGGACAATTACTGTTCTCTGAATTCTTAGTAGAAAACAGCAGAACCGGCTCCAACTAGTTCAAGTGGAGAGGCGACTATTAAAGGATATAAAGTAGTTCACGGGGCCTCTGGGAGGGGGTTGGGGTCGGACGGGAAGCTGTGCAAAGTGGGAACAGCCTCAGGGCAGCACTGGACTTCCCCATGGAGCCCGCTACAGCCTCCGGAGAACTCGGCCCTGGCTCCCCACACCTGCTCTGGGGGAGGTCTCTGCTCCCCACACTTGCCCTGGGGAGGGTCTCTGCTCCCCACACCTGCCCTGGGGGAGGTCTCAGCTCCCCACACCTGCCCTGGGGGAGGTCTCAGCTCACCACACCTGCTCTGGGGGAGGTCTCTGCTCCCCACACTTGCCCTGGGGAAGGTCTCAGCTCCCCACACCTGCCCTGGGGAAGGTCTCAGCTCCCCACACCTGCCCTGGGGAAGGTCTCTGCTC